GAGCCAGCACAGGGCAGAAGACTGGACAGGCAGTGACTGGGACTGTGCGGACAAAGGAAGGACAATTCTCCAGGACTATACACTTCAGTGAGGAAAGTCTTCAAGAATCAGGTCTATTGTTGGCCGGCTGGTGCCTTCTTGTAACCTCAGTTTCCCCATTGTTAAGAATGAAGGTTGATTGGGAATAAACCATCTCTAATGTTCCTCCAGCTCTGATCCTGAATCCGTTTCAGGGGATGTGGGAAGCTAGTGATGAGCCTGCTCCTGCCTGCACAATCTGAGATCCCTCCTCTCACTCAGCCCAGCCCCGAGATTCTCAGGGAAGGCCCCGCACTCACTCTTCTTGCAGGAGGTTCATGTGTACTCTTTGCATGTGCAGGAGCCGGCACAGGTGCAGGACCCACCTGCAAGGTAGAGAAAAAGGCAGTGAGCAGTGAGTGTGGTGCAGGGTTAGGAGCAGGCCCTCAGCATCCTCCTGCTCAGTGTACGGGATACCTGGTACCTTGTTCTGCTCAGGCACACGGAAGCCCAGCCCCATCTTTTCTCCACACAGGCTCTCACAGGCCTCCACACAGGGCAGACGCCCTCCTAATTTTACTCCACAAGGCCTTCTGTCAGGAATCCCTTAGAGGCAATGCTTCCTGCCTCCCATCCACCTCAGGCAGCTCTAATGCTGGACAGAGCACTGGGTCCCAGCCCAGGACCCCACTAGCTATCTGGGTGACCTGGCAGTTTTGAGCCTCAGTCTTCTCAGAAATGGGAGGCTCTGGGAAGATGGCAGCGTTCTAAGTGGTGATGAAGGCGCTTGACGGAAAAAGCACGAGAAGTGCAAAGTAAAGGAGTTCACTTTAGGAAGAGCTCAAAATACACCTCCCTCCTGCCCTGGGGACATTCTGTCCACTGGAATGAAAATGGAGATCCTAAGGCCTCGAAACCCGGTATCTCTTACTAGTGAAGCAGGAGCACTTGGGGTCCATTGCGAGTCGAGGTGCGGCTGGAGTTTCTAAGGGAGAGGGGAAGACGCAGTGGGGCAGGTGGGAGGCGTGGTGGATTCTAGGAACCCGGCGATCAATTTACAGGTAGAGAAGGGCGCCGGGTGCAGAGCACCCCCTCCTCCACCCTGACGCGGAATCCGCGGCGCCTGGCGTCCTGGGTTGGGATGTGCGCAATAGGCGGGTCGGGCGCATTATCCCCTGAGCACAGCCTGGTGGGCCCCGGAGGGCTGCCCCTTTGGCGCCTGCTGGCGCAGAAGGAGCTGTGCTGCCGGAGGTACGTGGCGCCCCTGACACCCTAAGGGCCATTTTCCATTTCCAGGTAGTCGCGTTATCCCCATCGCCCGACCTGCACCTTTGCCACCAACTTCGCGTCCCCCGGGTCCGTGTGCAGCTCCATCCTTGTGCTCACCTTCGTCATTGGCTGGAGCTGGGAGCAGAGAGAGTGAGCCGTGTGCACATGTGTGGCCATGGAGGTGACTTTTGTTTCTCCCCCGCCCTTCCCCCGCATTGCCTGTCGCTCTTCCCACCTAGGACCCTCAAACTCCTTCCCCCTGTACACACAACCTGGCGATCACGGGTCAGCCTCTCTCTCTTCCTTCCATGCTATCATATAACATTTCGATTTTGCCAGGCCCGTTTAAATCATTGTTTCTTTGAACCCTCCCAACAATCCTAAAGGGAAATACTATTTATGAACCCGTTTTACTAATCTGACAATTATAACATAAACTTTAAGTAACTTGCTCAACATCACAGAATGGAAAAGTTGTCACTGATTTGAATCTAGCCAGCCTCTCAAGAGAAAGTGTCCATGATCAGGCCTTCCTTTGGCCCAGGTCTGTCATCAGCATTTCCCTATTGCTGGACATCTTTTAAACAATGTCAAGCCACAAGCTAAACCATGAGCTGTGACAGAAGCAATCTATAACTGTAATATATATACACAGACATACAACACATTTATACTTCTGGTTGTCTTCTATGTGTGGAATGAGACTGATTTTCATTTTCGCTGCTGGAAAAGAGTGTGCTTTAAATAAAAATATATTTAAGCAAATATTAATCACTTCAATGTTGTACGTTAAGTAACATACAGTGACTGTGTGTGCAGAAGTGACATTGTTTTTGATCTGACATGAGGCATGGATGGAATCTTGCTTATAGCTTTGTGTCCCTAGTGTTGACGACTATTTTATGAGAAGAACAAACATCTCTTTTGACCACAGGACACATGTTCATGTAGTAGATGAGAATAACAGGATACACAAGTGAGCACATCTGGCCTGGCTGCTTTGTCTGTGAGTAAATAAATACCCCCAAGCTATGTAAAATGGGGGGAAAAAAAAAAGCAACAGTTAATGTTGTAGATGACTCACCCCTTGCCAGGCACCATTCTAAGTTCCTTACATGAATTAAATCATTTAATTTTACAAGCCAGATATCATTATACTTCAGTTGATAAGACTGATACACAGAGGTTATGTCACACACATAGTGGCAGAGGTGGGATTTGCACTCATGCAGGCTGACCTCAGCATCATGTCTTTACCCCCTGCTCTATGCCACCAAGTCAACACAAAGATGAGGACGCTGAAAGTCTGGCTAGGAGGCAGCAGTGGAAGCACATTTAGTTGCAGTCAGATCTCTGTGCATACCTGTGACCTCTCTGGGCTTCAGTTCCTATTTCTCAAGCCAAGAGCAAAATTTGTTCATCTCCAAGGTCCCTTATAGCTTTGAACTGAGATGCGCAGGGTTTGGCATCCACGGATGCCATGATCTGCCAGCTGTAGGGAGGGCCAGAGGCCAGCCGTACCATAGGTTCATGCATCCTTTTCCTTCTCAGCTGTGTGGCATTGGGCAGGTTGTTTAATTCCTCTGAAAGACGACTTAAGCACGCCAGCCCCTGAATATTTTCTGTCCCTGTCCTGAAGCTTGTGACTTTCATTCAACTTGTCGCCTGAAGGTCAGATGACATGAAGGATGGTAAAGGATTTTATGTGTGTTCAAATGTTGGGGCAGCATCTTATCACAGAGGACTTTCTGCAGGAGGACATCCACACTCCTGCTGGCACTGGATCAGCCAGGGATGCAACCCCTCCACAGCATCCCATCCAGAGCAATGCTTCCAAACCAATGAGCCTTTCTTCAAGAGCAAGTTAGGATTTAATGGTATCTTTATCCAAGAAAGTCAGTGCAGAGAGAATGATCATAATCACCACTGTTTATTGTAATCTAGGCAGCAGCCAGGCCACTTTCTCATTTTCTTTTTTTGTTTGTTTTGGTTTTGGTTTTTGTTTAGACAGAGTCTTGTTCTGTTGCCTAGCCTGGAGTGCAGTGGCACAATCTTGGCTAGCCTCTATATCCTGGACTTAAGCAATCTTCCTATCTCAGCCTACAGAGTGGCTGGGGCCACAGGTGTATGGCATCACGCCATCTAATTTTTGTATTTTTTGTAGAGACGGGGTTTCTCCATATTGCCCAGGCTTGTCTCAAACTCCTGGGCTCAAACAACCTTCCCACCTCTGCCTCCCAAAGTGCTGGCATTACAGGCATGCGCCACTGTGTCCGGCCCACTCTCTCATTTAATCCCTGCATTGAGAATAATCTCCTTTCTACAAATGAAGCACTAGATGCTCAGAGAGTTTGGGTGACTTGCCCAAACCACACAGCCAGTAAGTGGTGGAGTGGGCTGTGAACTAGGACTGCCTGACAACTAAAACTATGCCCTAGGTGTTGGCTGCCTCCTGAAATCGCTTCACAGGGAAGCAGCAGGTAAGTGTGGTCCTGACTTCTAGGCAAGGAGACTCATCTTCTTCCTTGACTGAACATCGAATAGCATCCCCCCCACAAATGGAGGGACTAACTTGTCATTAATAAGACATCCAGGGACTCTTTCCTTTCTAAGGAACATCACCACGCTCAGCAAGCTGCACAATCTGCCATAGCTGTGTTCTGAGAACTTCTGTTAATAAACTAATATTAATTACGGAGATGATGAAATCAAAATGAAAATTCCAAAATAACTTTACCCGAACCCATGCTGACACTGCATCTTGCCGGGAGTATCTGGTTCGAAGTAGTCAAGGGCTGGAACTTGAAAAAGGAACAAACTCAACCTGAATTTGGGAGGAATTTCCAAAGATTCAGAGCCAACTCCCAACAGGGAGCTCTCAGGGTTCAGCGAGTGTCCTGAGTGTGCTGTCTGTGACGCTGGCTAGGCCAAGCCAGATGGTTCCTCATGAGAATGTCGTGGACTGTGTCTGCTGTCTCCAGTCTGCAATGCAAATCATCCATGAACAAATGTGCAGAGTTTCTAAATCTTCCATTTTTCTGTTATTTCTGTATGTACTTATTGATTTTGTTGTGTAACATGTTAAAAATGGGTTCCGTATTTTGTGTTTCATTATCTTCATAATTAATATTACTTTATTTACAAAGGTGTAGGTCTGGGCTGGGTAGAAAATGAAAACTGTCCCTTCACCAGGGAGTCTGAGAAGCCCCGTGTAGGATTCATCTAACTCAGGCATTGGAATCTACCTCCTGTGGTCACTTTCAATCCCAAAATCTGCTGAGAAACTGAATTTGGGCAGGGAAACCTGAGAATAACCATGAGGAATGGAGAAGTCTCTGTGCCACATTTAACATGATTGGAGCTGATCGTGTACGTTGTCTGTCCCCATATGATCTGGCACAGTGCAGGTGCATTTTGTGGAAGATAAAGCTCAGTGAGTTAGCAGGGCTTGCCTGAAGGTGCTCAGACTGTTAGAGGCTCACATTTCCATCCAGAGACCAGTCTCTTAAACTCCCAGTTCAATCTTCTACCCCAGTCCCTTATTCCAAAAAACACACAGGAACCAGAACCAGAATCAAGTCTAAGTGTTGAATTATGATTGACACATTTCACAGGAAAAGGAATGCAGCAAATGGGTCAAGGTTGTATCAAAAAAGCAAAAAATCCTGGATTTTACTAATCAATCTATATTTGGGAGCAGGGTTGTCCCAGCATCAGGCGCAGCAGCTGCACTTGTCCAACACCCCTTTGCAGATGCAGCCCTGGGCACACTTGGCACAGCCCACAGGGCAGCAGGAGCAGCAGCCTGAGGAGGAAGGGAGAGTGAGAGGTCACAGCAGAGTCGACCAGAGACCTCCCTGCCCGAACAGAGGCCTGTCTCCATCCCTGCCTCCAGACCCTGAGGACCCTTAGTTGAGGATGGCATGGTTTTGTCAGGAGACAACTGGTGCCACTGGGGTGGGTCTTCCTATGAGAAAGCTTCCCCATCCCACATAAGCCCTGGAAAGGTCAGAAGACTAGACAGGCAGTGATGGCCTACAGGGACAAAGGAAGGCCAGTTCCTGAGAAGCATGCACTCAGGGCCAGCCTTGGGTTCCCTCCCAACCTTAGCCACAGCCCCAGATTCCTGGAGATGGCCCCGCACTCACTCTTCTTGCAGGAGGTGCATTTGCACTCTTTGCACTTGCAGGAGCCAGGGCAGGCACAGGAGACACCTGCAAGGAGAGAGAAAGCCACGCAGGGGTGAATGAGATGCAGAAGGTGCAGCAGTGGATCAATAATTGTCCGGTTCCCCCTCCTCTGTGCAGGCCCAGCCCTCAGAGCTGCTTTCCCACTAAGAGCAGAGGAAGAGAAGCGCCATGTCCTCTCCCTTCATGCTGGGAAAACCAAGCACCCGCCTATTTGTATTCCAAAGGAAAGTCCCAGGCTCCTATATGGCCCAGGAAGACTGCGACTTCGACTTTCTGTCCTGAACCCGGAAGAGGCAATGTCCCCTCCCACCCAATGCTTCCATTCCAATCCAGCTGCTAAGAGTCAAGTTCGAGAACTGGGGCTTAGCCAGCAGCCCTGTGACCAACCGGGTGACATGCAGCAGGACAGCCTTGAGCCTCAGGACCCTCAACTCTGACACAGATGCACAGGGAGGAGGGACATGCTCTCAGGAGCTTGGCCAAAGGAAAGCACTGGACGAATAAAGGAGTCCTCTTCAGCTCAGATCACAAAATAAGACCTCCTCAAACCCAGGGACACTCTCCATGATGTCTGAGAATTCGGCATCCCAATGCGCAGAACCCGGGCGCCCCTTACCAGAGGCGCAGGAGCAGTTGGGGTCCATTGCAACAGGAGGCAAGAGTGGAGTTCCCAAGCGAGAAGAGAAGAGGCAGTGGTGGACGTGGAAGGCGTGGTGGAGCCCAACAGCCAGCGGCTGCATTTATAGTCAAGAAAGGGGGCCGGGCGCAGACGCCCCGCCCCGCCCTTGCACCCGCCCCGCCGAGTCAGCACCGCCAGCTGTCCTGGGCTGGGCTGTGCGCAGCAGATGGGCCAGGTGCAAGTTCCTTGAGCGCAGCTGGGTGCACACCGCAGGATCGCCCCTTTCGCAATGGCTCGCGAGGGAGGCGCTGTGCACCCGGGTGCGCGGCTTCTCTCACCCTGCGGGGCCTTCCAGCTTCCCTGAAGTTGCCTACTACACTCGCCCCTTGGCGTTCCGACTACCCCAGTATTCTGGACTTCCCCCCACCCCCACCAACGCCCAGGTCTCAAGTCGATAGCTAAGCCTTTCCTGGAGTCGAGGGTAACCCCAGTCTTGTGCTCCACTTTCTAGATCTGACAAAGCAAGGAGCACAGCAAGAGCAGTAGTGTGCAAAGGCAGGCCAAGGGTGGGAACTTCACATCTCTGGCCTTATCCGCCCTGTCCCGGTTCCTACCTCAGTCCTTTGGTCACATTTCTCCTCTGCACAGCAGCACGGAAGACACAGGGCTCTGCCTCTCTCTCTTCCATTCTCCACTCTTGAGGGGCTGAATGGGCCACATTTTTCCAGGTCCTCCTTTGCATAAATCTCTCCAGGGTCTCCCCACAGCTTAGCCAGGTACCCCACTACAGGATGGCAGTTTTGAATGTGTGAGATGTCCCCAGAAGAGGGATCATTGAAGGTGATATGAAGATCCTGCATTAAATTAGAAAGCAAGAGAGCTGCTTATTTTTCCTTCCATATTCCTATTACTCTACATTACACGGGTCCGTGTTTGACCGTTTAGTCACTTTCTATCTTTGAACTCTCACAGCAACCCTAAATGGACATGAGTTCTATTCGTGAACCCGTATTCCTAATCTGGACAATGATAATACAAGGAGTTCAAGCCACTAGCCCAGGGTCAGGGGGCTGGGAAGTGGCACTGCTGGGTGTGAATCCTGTCAGCTTCTCAAGGGAGAGAGGTCAGTGATGAAGCTTCCCTATGTATGGCCCAGGTATGTTCATCTCTTCACTGATTGAAATCTTTAAACAAAACCAAGCATCAAGGTCAGTCCTAGAAGCAAAACAGAGACATAGAGGGATATGAATAAGCATACTTTGACGGGAGGGAGACAGGGCCTTGTGTCTTCCGAGTAGCTGTGCACAGGAGAAACGTGGCACAAGAACTGAGGAGGGGAAGGGGAAAGGGACAGGCAGTGCCAGAGATCCGAAGGTCGCATCCTCCGCCTGTCCTTTGCACACTACTCCCTTGCTATGCTCCCTGCTCCCACCAATCCAGACAGTTGAACAAGAGACTGGGGTTGCAAGGCTTAACTGTTGGCAAGGGGGTGTGCAGGCTTCGGGGTGTGGGGCGCACGCAGGTCAGGGTCTCGGGCCATGCAGAACGCCAAGGGTGGGGGAGTAGCAGGTAATCTCAAGGAATTGGGCAGACCGGGCAGGGTGAAAGAAGCAGCTAATCCGGGTGCACAACGCCTCCCGCGCGAGCCGGTGCGGAAGGCGGAGGCCAGCGGTGTGCACCAACCTGCACTCAGGGTGCTTTGCGCCCGGCACCTCTGCTGCACACAGCCCAGCCCAGGACTACTGGCGGCTTGGACTCAGCTGGTCCGGTGCAAGGGCGGGGCGGGGTCTCTGCTCCTGGCGCCTACCCCTGACTACAAAAGGAGCCGCCAACTGTTGCGCTTCACCACATCTTACACGTGTTCCACTCCCTCTTCCCTTCTCGCTTGGGAACTCCAGTCTCGCTTCGGGTTGCAATGGACCCCAAATGCTCCTGCGCCGCTGGTAAGGGACGCCCGGGTTCTGTGCCTTGGAATGCCAAATTCCCAGACACCACAGAGAGTGTCCCTGGGTTTGAGGAGGTCGCGTTTTGCGATCTGAGCTGAAGGTGACTCCTTTATTCTTCCTTGAGAAAGATTCTTCCTATTCTTTCCTCTTGGCCAAGCTCCTGAGAGCAGTTGCCCTCCTCCCTGTGCCTCTATGTCAGAGTTGAGGGTCTTGAGACTCAAGGCTGTCCTGCTCCACATCACCCCGTTGGTCAGGAGACTGCTGGCTGAGCCTCAATGCTCTAACCAGGCTCTGAGCCGCCGGATTGGATGGGAGGCATTGGATAGGAGGGGACATTGCCTTTTCGGGGTTCTTGACAGAATGTCAAAGTTGTAGTCTTCCTGGGCTGTGCCTGGAGCCTGGGACTTTCCTTTTGAATAAAAACAGGAGGGTGTTTGGCCTTCCCAGCATGAAGGGGTTTCTCTTCCTCTGTTGAGTGGGAAAGGAGCTCTGAGGGCTGGCCCTGCACAGACGAAGGGACACTGGACACTCATTGACCCACTGCTGTACCTTCTGCATCTCACTCACCTTTCACTGGCTTTTGCTCTTCCTTGCAGGTGTCTCCTGTGCCTGCCCTGGTTCCTGCAAGTGCAAAGAGTGCAAATGCACCTCCTGCAAGAAGAGTGAGTGCAGGGCCATCTCCAGGAATCTGGGGCTGTGGCTAAGGTTGGGAGGGAACCCAAGGTTGGCCCTGAGTGTGTGCTTCTGGGGAACTGGCCTTCCTTTGTCCCCCTAGGCCATCACTGCCTTTCCAGTCTTCTGCTCTGTCCAGGGTTCCTGTGGGGCTGGGCAGTCTCTCACAGGAAGACTCACCTCAACATCCACCAGTTGTCTCCTGACAAAGCCACACCATCCTGAACTAAGGATCCGCGGGTGCTGGGGTCTGAGCTGAGTTAGGCCTGCTGTTGGGACAGGGAGCTCCCTGGTCAAGTCTGCTGTGACCTCTGTCTCCCTTTTTCCCCAGGCTGCTGCTCCTGCTGCCCCCTGGGCTGTGCCAAGTGTGCCCAGGGCTGTATCTGCAAAGGGGCATCAGAGAAGTGCAGCTGCTGCGCCTGAGGTCGGGACTGCCCTGCTGTCAGATGAAAACAGAATGACACGTAAAATCCAGGATTTTGTTTTCTACAACCGCGACCCATTTGCTACATTCCTCTTGTCTGTGAAATATGTGAATAATAATTAAACACAGACTTGATTCTGGTTCTGGTTCCTGTTGTATTTTTTGGGAATAAGAGACTGGGGTGGGAGATTGAACTGGGAGATTAGAGACTGGACTCTGGATGGAAATGTGAGCGTCTAACAGTCTGAGTGCCTTCAGGCAAGCCCAGTTACATCACAGACCTCCATCTTCTGTAAAATGCACCTGCACTGTGCCGGATCATGCTTCCATATGAGCATGGAGACATACGCGATCAGCTCCAATCATGTTAAATGTGGCACAGGGACTTCTCCATTCCTCATGTTTATTCTCAGGTTTCCCTGACCAAGTTCAGTTCTTCAGCAGATTTTGGGCTTGAAAGTGACCACAGTGGGTGGATTCCAATGCCTGAGTTACATGAATCCTACACGGGGCTTCTCAGACTCCACGGCGAAGAGACAGTTTTCATTTTCTATCCATCCTAGATCTAAACCTTTGTAAATAAAGTAATATTAATTATGAAGATAATGAAACACAAAATATAGAACCCACGTTTTACATTTTACACACAAAAAAACTCAATAAATACACAAATAACAGAAAAATGGAAGATTTACAAACTCTGTACATATGTTCATGGATGATTTGCATTGCAGACTGGAAACAGCAGACTGGCCCCACTGTGGACCACACACCTTCAGCAGCACAGGCCAGGACATTCTCATGAGGAACCATCAGGCTTGGCCTAGCCAGCGTCACAGACAGCACACTCAGGACACTCGCTGAACCCTGAGAGCTCCCTGTTGGAACTTGGCTCTGAATCTTTGGAAATTCCTCTCAAGTTCAGGCTGAGGTTGTTCCTCTTTCAAGCTCCAGCCCTTGACTATTTCAAACCAGCATGCTCCTGGCAAGACACTGTGATTGTGGGTTGCAGATGAAGTTATTTTGGAATTTTGCTTTTGATTTCATCATCTCCACAATTGCTAATACTTTATTTACTGAAGTTCTCAGAACACAGCTATGGCAGATTGTGCAACTGTCTGAGTGTGGTGATGTTCCTCAGGAAGGAAAGATTTCTGGATGTCTTGTTGATGACAAGTTAGTCCCTCCATTTGTCGGGGGGATGCTATTTGATGTTCGATCCCTAAGGAGGAAGGTGAGTCTCCTTGCCTAGAAGTCAGGACCACACTTACCTGCTGCTTCCCTGTGAAGCGATTTCAGGAGGCAGCCAACACCTAGGGCATAGTTTCAGTTGTCAGGCAGTCCTAGTTCACAGCCCAGTCCACCACTTACTGGCTGTGTAGTTTGGGCAAGTCACCCAAACTCTCTGAGCATCTAGTGCCTCATTTGTAGAAAGGAGATTATTCTCAATGCAGGGATTAAATGAGAGAGTGGGCCGGGCACAGTGGCTCATCATGCCTGTAATACCAGCACTTTGGGAGGCAGAGGTGGGAAGGTTGTTTGAACCCAGGAGTTTGAGAACAGCCTGGGCAACATGGAGAAACCCCATCTCTACAAAAATTACAAAAATTAGATGGCGTGATGCCATACACCTGTGGTTCCAGCTACTCTGGAGGCTGAGTAGGGAGGATCACTTGAGTTCAGCATGTAGAAGTTGCAGTGAGCCAAGATCACGCCACTGTATTCCAGGTTGGGCAACAGAACAAGACCCTATCTCAAAACAAAACAAAACAAAAAACATAAACAAAGCAAAACAAAAAACAAAAACAGAGAGAGAGAGTGGCCTGGCAGCTGCCTAGGTTTTAATAAGCAATAGTGATTATGATCATTCTCTCTGCACTGACTTTCTTGGAAAAAGATATCATTAAATCCTAACTTGCTCTTGAAGAAAGGCTCATTGGTTTGGAAGCATTGCTCTGGATGGGATGCTGTGGAGGGGTTGCA